CAGGTGATCCACCTGCCTTGGCCTCCCAACATGCTGGGATTACACGGGAATGAGCCATCGCGCCTGGCCTTTACATAATTTTTTATAGAGATGAAATCTCACTGTTTTGCCCAGGCTGGTCTCAAACTCCTAGGCTGAAGTAATCCTTCTATCTCTGCCTGCCAAAGTGCTGGTATTACAGGTGTGAACCACCATGCCTGGCCTCAATTTTTTTTTTTTAGAGACAGGAGACAGGGTCTTGTTCTGTTGCCTAGACTGGTTGACCAGAGTGCTATGGCAATTCCTGGGCTCTAAATATTTCTTTTTTATTTTTTTGAGACAAGGTTTTACTTTGTTGCCCAGGCTGGAGTGCAGTGGTGCGATCATGGCTCACCCCAGCCTTGACCTCCCAGGCTCAAGTGATCCTCCCTCCTTAGCTTCCTGAGTAGCTGGGACCCCAGGCACATGTCAGCGCGCCCGGCTAATTCTTGTGTTTTGGGGAGAGACAGGGTTTTGCTATGTTGCCTAGGCTGGCCTGGAACTCCTGGGCTCAAGCAATTAGTTCATCTTAGCCCCTTGAGTAGGTGGGACTGCAGGTGGCGCTACCACGCTCAGTTAATTTTTTGTTTATTTTTTTGTGGAGAAGAGGTCTTGCTTCTATTTTCATGTAGTAAATTTTATTCGTTTTTTCTTTTATGCATTGTAGATTTTAAGTTTTAGTTAGAAAACTCAACCCCCTGAAGTTTAGAAAGGAATTTTCTCAGGTATATGTGTGTGTTTTTACTTCTACAGTTTACATTTAAATCTGTGGTTTCATGTTTTACATTTAAACCTTTGACTCATTTCAAGTATATCTCAGCATGTATCCTAGTGCATTTTGTTTTATTTGTTTATTATTATTATTATTATTATTATTATTTTTGAGACAGAGTCTCGCTCTGTCGCCCAGGCTGGAGTGCAGTGGCACGATCTCGGCTCACCACAGCCTCTGCCTCCCGGGTTCAAGCGATTCTCCTACCTCAGCCTCCTGAGCAGCTGGGATTACAAGCTGCCACCACCACATCTGGTTAATTTTTGTATTTTTAGTAGAGACAGGGTTTCACCATGTTGGCCGGGCTGGTCTTAAACTCCTGACCTCAGGTGATCTGCCTGCCTCAGCCTCCTAAAGTGCTGGGATTACAGGCGTGAGCCACTGCGCCTGGCCTTATTTGTTTTTTAAATAGAGACAGGGATCTCACTTTATTGCCCAGGCTGGTGTTGATCTCCTAGCCTCCAGCAGTCCTTGTGCTTTGGCTCCCAAAGCGCTGGGATTATAGGCATGAACCACCACACTGAGCCCCTAGCGAATTTTAAATAAGATTTGCGTAGTGCCACTTTATAGACATAGTTCATAGCATTTTCATGTTTAAGGATATTGCTCTGCTTAAAATGTTGCTCTTAACTGGATAACCATGATTCTTTGGAAAAAATTATCAGTTTTTCCATGGTTAAGTGTAGATTATTTCTCTCATCAATAGAGATAAAAGTATTAGGGAGTGTTAATTTAAAAAAAAAAAGTAATTAACTTCAGTAGGTCTTGCAAACGTTTATAAAATTTTTTTTCCTCTCTTTTTCTTTTGTTTATAATCTGCATTCTACTGAATTAATTAATTAATTAATTTTTTTATTTTGAGACAGGTTCTTTGTTACCCAGGCTGGGGTGCAGTGGCGCAGTCACTGCAGCCTCAATCTCCCAGGCTCAGGTGATCTTCCCACCGAAGACTCCCAAGTAGCTGGGAATACAGGCGTGTGCCACCACACTCAGCTAATTTTTTTGTACTTTTTGTAGAGATGGGGTTTTGCCATGTTGCCCAGGCTGGTCTCCCACCCTTGGGCTCAAGTGATCCTCCTGACTCAACTTCCCAAAATTGTTGGGATTACAGGCGTGAGCCACGGTGCCCAGTCAAACATTTTAAAAACACTAATTAACAATAAGTAACAATCCTATCAGCTAAATAGGAGAACAGTGATATTCATCTGAATTTTGTGTTTTTCTAAATTGTGGTGAAAATACATATAACATAAAATTTACTGTTTTCAAGTAGGCAGCTCAGTCAGGTGCAGTGGCTCACGCCTGTAATCACAGTACTTTGGGAGGTTGAGGTGGGCGGATCACCTGAGTCCAGGAGTTCAAGAGCAGCCTGGGTAACAGTGAGACCCACTTCTCTACCAAAAATACAAAAACTAGCCTGCTGTGGTGGCGCACGCCTGTAGTCCCAGCTACTTGGGAGGCTGAAGTGGGAGTATCACTTGAGCCTGGGAGGCAGAAGTTGTAGTGAGCTGAAATCGGGCCACTGCACTCCAGCCTTGGCTACAACAACAAAAATGTAGGCAGCTCAGAGCTCAGTACTGTTAAGTGTGCTTACATTATCATATAACCAATCTCCAGATCAGTTTCTTTTTTGTAACTTTAAATTTTTTTTTTTTTTGATACGGAGTTTCACTCTTGTTGCCCAGGCTGGAATGCAATGGCACGATCTTGGCTCACTGCAACCTCCACCTCCTGGGTTCAAACGATTCTCCTGCCTCAGCCTCCGGAGTAGCTGGCATTACAGGCATCCACCACCACACCTGGCTAATTCGTTTTGTATTTTTAGTGGAGACAGGGTTACGCCATGTTGGCCAGGCTGGTCTTGAACTCCTGGGCTCAGGTGATCCACCTGTCTTGGCCTCCCAAAGTGCTGGGATTACAGGTATGAGCCACTGTGCCTGGCCTGTAACTTTAATTTTAATTTTAGGGATAGGTCTTACTTTGTTGCCCAGGCTAGAGTACAGTGGCACAACCATGGCTCACTGTAACCTCAGTCCTCCTGCTTCAGCCTCCCCAGTAGCCAGGACTGTAGGCTCACACCGCCATGTTCAGCTATTTAAAGAATTGTTTGGCCTGTAATCCCAGCACTTTGGGAGGCCGAGGTGGGCGGATCACAAGATCAGGAGATCGAGACCATCCTGGCTAACATGGTGAAACCCTGTCTCTACTAAAAATACAAACAATTAGCCGAGTGTGGTGGCAGGCGTCCGTAGTCCCAGCTACTCGGGCAGCTGAGGCAGGAGAATGGCGTGAACCCGGGAGGTGGAGCTTGCAGTGAGCTGAGATTGCGCCACTGCACTCCAGCCTGGGCGACAGAGCGCTCCATCTCAAAAAAAAAAAAAAAAAAAAGAATTGTTTTGTAGAGACAGGGTCTCATTATGTTGCCCAGGCTGGTCTGGAACTCCTGGCCTCAAGTGATCCTCCTGCCTCAGCCTCCTAACTAGCTGGGACTATAAGCATGGGCCACCATGCCTTGCTTCATGTTGCAGAATTGAAACTATATCCATTAAGCAACAATTCCACATTCCCTCAACCCCCTCACACCCAGCAACCACTATTCCACTTTCTGTCTATGAATTTGACTATTCTAGATACCTCATGTGAGTGGAATCATACAATATTTGTGTGTGAGAGGTTTACTTCACTTCGTGTAATGTTCCCCAAGCTCACCTATGTTGTAGCATATATCAGAATTTGTTACTTTTTTTTGTTATTTGAGATGGCGTCTTGCTCTATCATCCAGGCTGGAGTGCAGTGGCACGATCTCAACTCACTGCAACCTGTGCCTCCTGGATTCAAGCGATTCTCCCACCTCTGCCTCCCGAGTAGTAGCTGGGATTATAGGCATGTGCTGCCACCCCTGACTAATTTTGTGTGTGTGTGTGTGTGTGTGTGTGTGTGTGTATTTTTAGTAGCGACAGGGTTTTGCCATGTTGGCCAGGGAGGTCTGGAACTCCTGACCTCAGGTGATCTGCCCATCTCAGCCTCCCAAAGTGCTGGGATTACAGGCGTGAGCCACCGTGTCTAGCCAGAATTTATTACCTTTTTATTGAGATGGAGTCTTGCTTTGTCGCCCAGGCTGGAGTCAGTGTCATGATCTCGGCTCACTGCAACCTCCGCCTCCCGGGTTCAAGCGATTCTCCTGCCTCAGCTTCCCAAGTAGCTGGAACTACAGCCGCGTGCCACCACACCTGGCTAATTTTTGTATTTTTAGTAGAGATGGGGTTTCACCACATTGGCCAGGCTGGTCTTGAACTCCTGACCTTGTGATCTGCCCGCCTTGGCCTCCCAAAGTGCTGGGATTACAGGTGTGAGCCACCACGCCCGGCCATAATTTGTTACTTTTTAAGGTTAAATAATATTCCATTGTATGTATACATCACATTTCTTTATCCATTTCTCTTTCTATGGACACATGGATTGCTTCAGTTCCCACCTGAACTTTGAGGATGACCTCTTGACAGGCAGCTCTCTTGCTCTCATGACCTAAGTTATCACAAGCACACCCTAGACAAGGTCTTTTGTCTCTTCTCAGGCAGAGTCTTAGATTCACTTCAGCTGCTGTCACTTCAAGATACAAATAGGACAAGATTTTGCCTTCAAAGTCTGCACTCTAGGACTTCCCTTACTTATCTGCCTGACGTGGTCATTGCACTCTAGCACAGATGACTGCCTTAAGTTAATAATTAAACTTTAGCACATTGAGAGGAAATTAGGAGGTGTCAGCAGTGGTGATGAGTTTCACACCAACTCATGTTACCCAGTTTAACACCTGTTTAAAGCATTGACTTGGGGATCCTGGATATTCTAGGTGTTAGGGTGCTGCAATCCCCTAGAACTGTGTTAGTTAATTTTATTTTACGAGTGTGCATAAAACACCTTCTATCTGTGGGGCTGGCATGGGGCTTGGTGCTTAGAACACATAGATGGACGACATCTTTCCCAGCAAGGAGCTGAGAGCTTAGTGAAGAAAGAGTGAAAAGTCCACAGTGAGAACATGGAGGTGCACATACCCGGGCTGCAGGCACTGCCTCTGCCTGATCCAGTCCTGACACTGAAAAATGTGCATATGATAAGAAGACAAGCCATGTGCCTTGATCATGATGTTTGGATACCTTCAATTTGCCTTTTTCTGATGGGACTTTCCTCTCTTAATTTTTTTGTTATTTAGGAGAACTCCCGGAAGCCCCATCTTCCTCCTCATGCCCATTGCCTGACCAGAGCCACCCTGCACTCAAGAGAGCTTCTCAGTTTGCTCAGTGTAAGTATGTGGTCCACTTTAAACCTGGGTTTGGCTTGCTGTGGAGCAGAGCTTCGAGAACATCGTATGTCCATCTCCCTACTGCTAGGGCCACTCCTTGGCTTACTGCACATGGGTGTGTTCCCTATACCAAGTCCCTCCACGGGGGAAGCTGATTGCAAAGGCAAAGCAGGTTGAGACTCTAGATCCAAGAGCACTCAAGAGTCCAGCCAACCTTTGAGCCTCTCTGCTGTGGCCACCAACTGCAGCCAAATACCCAAACCTGCTGAGGTATTTCTGCATCTGTGCTGTGGCCACCAACTACAACCAACTGCCTTTTCCTAAACCTGCTGAGATATTTCTGCCATCTCAGTCTGGGGCAGTCCTTAAGAGCATGGATCCCGGAGCCAGACTGCTTGGGTTTGACGCCCAGCAGCTCCACTAACTAGCTGTGTGATCTTGAACAAGTCACTTAAACTCTTAGAGCCTGGGTTTCCTCATCTGTAAAACGGAGATAATATAGTACTTCTCTTGCGGGATTGCCATGAGGGTTAAGTGAGTGAGTATGAGTAAAACACCTGGAGTAGTCATGTTTTATAAGAGTTAGCAATTTATTCGCTCAATAGGAAACCATATGAAATATACAAAGTGAATAAGATATGGTCCTTCATCAGGAAGTTTCAGTTTAACTGGGAAGGTATAAACAGCTAGATAGATAGAAGATGGGCCAGACACGGTGGCTCATGCCTATAATCCCAGCACTTTGGGAGGCCGAGGCAGGTGGATCACTTGAGGTCGGGAGTTCGAGACCAGCCTGGCCAACATGGAGAAACCCCGTCTCTATTAAAAATACAAAATTAGCCAGGCATGGTGGTGCATGTCTGTAATCACAGCTTCTCAGGAGGCCGACGCAGGAGAATTGCTTGAACCTGGGAGGCAGAGGTTGTGGTGAGCTGAGATCGTGCCATTGCACTCCAGCCTGGGCAAAAAGAGCAAAACTCTGTCTCAAAAAATATATATATATAGGTAGGTAGGTAGGTAGGTAGATAGATAGATAGACAGATAGAAGCTGGTAAGTATCATGAGAGAACACATAAAGCACCAGAGGTGTTGAGAAAAGCAAGAGATGACTTTGCTGGGTGGGATGCCAAGAGGGCTTCCTAAAAGATGACTAGTGGGTTAGTAAAAATTAATATGGGAAAGGGGTATTGTTGATATTAATATCAGAGGTATGTATAGAAAATTGCAAGTCGATGTACCAATTTTTGGTTGTTTGCTTGCTTATTTTTGTAGAGACAGGGTCTCTCTATGTTGCCCAGGCTGGTCTGGAACTCCTCACCTCAAGTGATCCTCCCACCTCAGCCTCTCAAAGTGCTGGGATTCCAGGCATGAGCCACTGTGCCTGGCTTGAATTTTTTTTTTTGAGAAGGAGTTTTGCTCTTGTTGCCCAAGCTGGAGTGCAATGGCACGATCTCGGCTCACTGCAACCTCTGGCTCCTGGGTTCAAATGATTCCCCTGCCTCAGCCTCCCGAGTAGCTGGGATTACAGGCATGTGCTACCACGCCTGGCTAATTTTTTGTATTTTTAGTAGAAACGGGGTTTCACCAGGTTAGCCATGGCTGGTCTCAAACTCCTGACCTCGTGATCTGCCCGCCTCAGCCTCCCAAAGTGCTGGGATAATAGGCGTGGGCCACCGTTTGTTTGTTTGTTTGTTTTGTTTTGTTTTGTTTTTGAGACAAAATCTTCTCTGTTCCCCAGGCTGGAGTGCAGTGGCACATCTCGGCTCACTGCAACCTCTGCCTCCCAGACTCAAGCAATTTTCCTGCCTCAGCCTCCTGAGTAGCTGGGATTACAGGCATGAGCTACCATGCCCAGCTAATTTTTTTTTTTTTTTGAGACGGAGCCTCGCTCTGTTGCCCAGGCTGGAGTGCAGTGGCGTGATCTCGGCTCACTGCAAGCTCTGCTACAGGAGCCTACCACCATGCCTGGCTAATTTTTTGTGTTTTTAGTAGAGACAGGGTTTCACCGTGTTAGTCAGGATGGTCTTGATCTCCTGACCTTGTGATCTGCCCACCTCGGCCTCCCAAAGTGCTGGGATTAGAGGCGTGAGCCACCACGCCGGGCTGGCCTGATTTTTAAAATTGACATATAATAATTGTATAGTCTGGGTGCAGTGGCTCATGCCTGTAATCGCAGCACTTTGGGAGGCTGAGATGGCAGGATTGCTGGAGCTCAGGAGTTCAACACCAGCCTGGGAAACATGGCAAAATCCTGCTTCTTTTCTAAATAAATTTTTAAAATAAATAAATGTAGTCATTGTACATATTTATGGGATACATAGTGATGTTTCAATACATATGATGCATAGTGATCAGATCAAGGTAGTTAGCTTATCTATCATCTGAAACATTTATCATTTCTTCCTGTTGGGTGATGTACCAATTTTAATGCCAGTGTGAGTGAAACATCACACCGAATAATTTTAATGCCAGTGTGAGAAACATCACACCTGTCTCTTATACACATCTAGATGTGTATAAGAGACAGGGATTACAGGTGTGAGCCACAACACCTGGCCAAGAATACCACTTTTGAAGTTAATCCTTTTGTGTGATACAGGATGAACTTGGGATGTTTGAACCCTGGACATTCCAAATAAAGGACAGGCCCCTGCCCGGCTCCTGGGAGATAACCTCTAAGCCATTAGAATATCCTGCCTGATAAGAGTGTTTTTGTTTACCTGTGGGCCTTGGGCCATGCAGTATTAGCTTGACCTTGCAAGGTCAAGCTGAGGAGACTAAGTCAGCCATGTGGGCAGTGAAGCATGCCTATGTGACCAATCCCCAGTAAAAGCCCTAGACACCAAGGCATGGGTGAGCTACCCTGGTTGGTAATACTCTGTGCACACATCATTGTGTCCACACATCATTGCTGGGAGAATTAAGCATTATCCTGAAGACTCTGCCAGGAGAGGATAATTGGAAGTTCTCTTGGACCTTGCCTCCTGTGCCTTTCTTCATTGCTGATTTTAATCTGTAGCCTTTCACTGTAATAAACTGTAACCATGAGTACAACAGCTTTGCTGAATTCTGTGAGTCCTTCTAGGGAATCACTGAACCTGAGGACAGTCTCAGAGGATCTCTAAACACAATTTGCTACTTATCAATCGCTATGAAGAATATTGCCACAAATTTAATGGTTTAAAATAACACATATATATTATTTCACACTTTCTGTGAGTCAGGAGTCAGGGCATAGCTTAGCTGAGGCTCCTACATCGGAGTTTTACAAGCTGCAGTCAACATGTCATCTGGGGACACAGGGTCATCAGAGGCTCGAATGGGGAAGGATCTGCCTGCAAACTCACATGGTTGTTGGCAGCCTTCAGTTCCTTGTGAGTTGCCGGACTGAGGGCCTCAGTTTCTTTCTGGTTGTTGGCTGGAGACCACCCTCAGTTCCTTACTCCATAGGCCTTTGCAACACAGCTGCTTGCTTCCTCAAAGCCAACAAGGGAGAGGGTATCCTAGCCAGATGACACAAAATCTTACATAGCATAACCACATAAACACATAATCATGTACATCCCATTGCCTTTGCCTTCTATTGATTAGAAGCAAGTCACGGTACCACCCACACTCCAGGGGAGGGGATTACAGAAAGACATGAATGCCAGGAAGTGGGGCTCACGGGCGCCACCCTACAGTATGTCTGACACAGGGTGTTATTTCATACTTGATTTCCCCTATTTTTAACAACCATTTTATTGTATAAGAAAACAGATACAGAAAACTACATGAAACATGTGGAGCTTAATGAGTTATTATAAGGTAAATACCCTTGTAACTATCATTCAGGTCAAGAAATAGAACCTACTACCCGCCCCAGAAGCTCCTTCCTGTGCCCCATTCTAATCACAAAACCCTCCCTGTGCCTGAAAGGAGTCTTGACTTTCACACTAATCACTTCCTTGCATTTCTTTAGAGTTTTACCACTCAAATATGCATCCATAGCCACAGTAGTTTCATCTTGCCCATTAAAAAAAATGGTATGTCCTTTCCTTTAACAGCTTTGTTGGGAATATTATTTATTTATTTATTTTATTTTGGAGACAGGGTCTCACATTGTCACCCAAGCTGGAGTACAGTGGTGTGAATCTTGGCTCACTGCAACCTCTGCCTCCC